TATTTGGAGGTGAAATAGCTGAAAAGTAAGTTATTGGTTTGTGCCCAGATGAGAAGAACTGATGTTATTGGCAGTGGAAGGAGGAGGGTTCTTTTCTTCTTCGGCTTCTGGATACAGTAAGGGATTGACCCTTCTTTTATTGGGTCAGAGGAAAGAAGAAATACCCATGAGAGTAACACCGTGGAATCAGTACCAGTTGGTGGACCAAGAGACTGATCCTGATATCCAGCTGGCTACTGGGAAGAACCAGCTTGTCCACGGGTGTGCTTCCTTTGTATGCTTTGGTCGCGCTACCGCTGGAGTCGAGAGCCCATCTCATCTGCCTACTCAGCACCAAGAAGTCTCACAGGGACATCCTGTCTATGACGATGGTAAAGATCAAGCCTATTTGGCTGATCATCTTGATGATGATGCTAGTAACATAAGCAGTATTAGTCTGAAGAGTAGTATGAAGAAACCTACAAATAGTTTTCCAGTTTCTGCTGCAAGTGACGGCAGCTTTGGCAATGGACAAGATACTTTATGTGAGAAGAATAATGACGTTATGAGTCAAACGGAGAGGAGGAAAGTGCAGTGGACGGATACATCTGGAGGTGAACTCTTTGAGATCCGGGAATTTGATATGAGGTATGAAAGATTAGTATTATTAAGTTTTACAATTTATGGGTATTTTCATTCTTTAAATTTCTCATGGGCTGTTGGAATTCCATTCTCATGTTTTCCTTCTGGTGCTTTTGTGCTTATGTAACAAGTATGATCTAAGACTTGAAGTTTTTCTTCCCTGCTACCATCAATTTCATTTTCCTTGTGGCTTTTTTTGTTGCCATGCCCATGCCCATACTAAATATGTGTTACATCAAGATAACATATTCATATAATCGAGAGCCTGAATTTCTACTAATCTGATTCCATACATATAGTTTAGAAATGGTGAGGACATTGACCATTTGACGCCAATAATGTCAAGGTTGAGGTGAGCATTGCAGCTAATATTTTGTAATCTGTGGTATCTGTATCTTGGTTTGCTATTGTTTTTAATGAATTTGGTGTACAACACCGGGTTCCACCATACAGGTTATAACGATTAGTTGATTAGGCACATGAAAACTATAAGTGATTTTTATGAATTATTGAGGACTGATATAATGGGGGTTTTTTTGAGTTTGATGTTCGAGTATTGTAAAGCGAGATGCGATCCTTCTACATCTGTTCTGTATTGATTTATATTTTCATTATGTTTTGTCGAACAAGGACCAAAAAGAAATATCGTGCTTTAGGCAATTTAGCACAAGCAGTTGACTTAAAAACAATATCGCAAACTTGTGAGCATTCATATATTGAAGCATCAGATTCATGGTAATAACGCGATTAATATTTCAAAGGGTAATTGGCGCAAAATTCCTTACCTTTGTCTCTATTGCGGAATACCCGTATCTTTTTAGATTACCAGAAAACTCCCCTAGATGACCGTTTAAGTGTGGAAGACGGCCATTTCTTCCATTTTCTCAATAAAGTCTTGTGAAATGACAAATATACCATTCTCTTTAAATTTAAAAAAAAAAAAGGAAAAGAAGAAAAAATAAAGAATTAATTGCAACTTAGTCTCGACTTCTTTCAAAAAAAGTGCAAACGAGTCCAAAAAAATAATTATATAAAAAGCCTCTCTCCTATCCCCATCTTCCTTCCACCCACCCGCCCGCCCTCCCGCCACCGCCACCGCCACCACATCACTCAAGCTAGCCACATCCACAATATCTTCCTAGGTCCAAAATGACCCTTCATCCATAACATTCTCAACATCATCCTTACAAAGTTGGCATAGTTATCTTCTTCAAATGATGTTCAATTAAACCTCTTGTATTGGTAATTTCATCAAATTATGCTCAATTACAGAAATATGGAGTCACAACCATTCTTAATTTGTCACTGTTTGATGAAAATAAGGATTTCATTGCATCTTTTGAGGCTATTGAACCCTCAGTCTGCGCGTTGAAGTTGGGAACTTCAACTGCTCGAGAAAACGCGGCTTGCGCTCTACTTTGGCTCTCCTGCATTGAAGAGAATAAAATCGACATAGGTCGGTCGGGGGCGATTCCTCCACTGGTGAATTTGCTAAAGAGCAGCAATTTTCGAGGTAAAAAGGATACTTGCACAGCTTTGTATCTCTATGTATTGTGAAGGAGAACAAAATTAGGGTTGTTCAGGCAGGGATTATGAAACCTCTGGTGGAATTAATGGCAGATTTTAGGTCGAACATGGTGGATAAATCGGCGTACGTGTCGAGCCTATTTGTGTCAACGTTGGAAGCCAGGGAGACGATTGTGGAGGAAGGTGGAATTCCTGTATTGGTTGAAATAGTGGAGGTGGGAACACAATGGCAGAAGGAGATTGTAATAGGCATATCATTGCAATTATGTGAAGATAGCTTGACCTACAGGACTATGGTGGCGCGCGAAGGAGCAATTCCGCCCATGGTGGTGGTGGTGGTGGTGGGAGGAAGATGGGGGTAGGTGGGAGAGAAAGGGGTTTTTTTATTTGTAATTTTAACTTTTTAATTATTTATTTGAGACTCATTTGCACTTTTTTGAAAAAGTTGGGACTATGGTTGCAATTAATTCTTTATTTTTTCTTCTTTCCTTTTTGTTTTATTCAAAGAGAGTGTATTCGTCATTTCATAAGGTTTTATTGAGAAAATGGAAGAAAATGTTGTTTTCTGCAGTTAAAAGGTCATCTAGAAGGGTTTTCACCAATCTGAAAGGATATAGGGGGTATTCCACAATAGAGGCAATGATCGGCGGTTTTTGAGCTGGAGAAAGAGTTTAGTGGTTTAATATGGAACAGGCAAAATACCTATCAAAAAAAAATATGGAACAGGCAAAATCATGTTTTCCCAGTAGAGTGTTGAAACCTGGTTATAACTCCAATGCGAGTTTTTAGGTTTTCTTGGAGTCTTTTAGCTTCTTTAAAGTAGAGTTCAACATGAGGAGGTTGTAGTTAATGACTACTTTTCTTGTTCTATTTTTGGATTCAGTTTCTTGTTATATGCCTTTACTATTTTACAGGAGGCCACATATCGTAGTTAATTTGGCATCTTGACATTGTTTTTTGTTGCTAGGTTGCTCCATCGTATCTTCAACACTAATTGGATACGTGTTGAAATGTCATTGAATAATCTTGTGGTATGATTGACTAAGTCCTTGTCATACACTAAGGAAAATGTGTATAAAGACTCTGCACAAAAGCATCATTATGAACAAAAGCAAAACTAGTTATCAGCACATGGTGGTAATTATTGGATGATTGTTGTTTTATTTACATTATGAACAGTAGAAATCACCAAAACTTCTACATTTATAGAATCTAGTTCCTTTCTCGAAATGTTAGTGTCCAGTGTGTTAACTATGCATTCCATGTGCTTGCAGCGAAGTTGAATCGGACGATGAATTTGACCATAGGAATCGAAAGACTTGTGCATGCAGGATAATGTAATCGAGCTTCTCATCAGACCATTTGTCTGGTTGACTTATATAAAGAGAGAACCATCAAGGTGTTGCTTGAAATGCAGGTGGTAAAAAGATTGGCTAATCTGTGTTTTGCTTGAAGTTGTACGAGAGAAAGGAAAATTTTGGAGGGTGCTTAAGATAGTTTCACAGAAAAGAATATATCCTGGATTCCCCTTGGCTGACTGATCTGTTGTGTCTGTAGTGTTGTTTGAATTACGATTTTGAAGCATCGAGCTAAATTTTTTTCTTGATTAATATTCTTATATGAACTCACAGGTGGCGCCAATATCCATCTTCCAACTTTTTGTGTTATTTTGATTTTAAATTTCTTCTTTCTTCTACTGAAGAGAGAAATGGAATTATGATTTTTGTATTTCATAGATGTTAATATGGAGTAGAATTGTGTCTGAAATTCATGTATAGTTTGCAGTGATTCATGTGTTTTGGAAGGCAGCATTCAAGATATATCTAGTGCAGCTTTTGAATGTTCGACCTCAGCGATAGTAGAGGAAATATGTGATCTGCCTGTAATATTTGTCATGGTCCAAGGTACTTCGGCGCATTAGTGTCAAAATGTATTGGGGGACATCAATTAATCAGATCGTAGATCCGAGCTCATATTTCATTGAATGCAAACGGTGATTTTGCCTGTTTATGTTGTTCAATAAGATTACCTTGTTAAATGCTTGACAAAATGCATCATTGGTAGCTTTAGATTTTAACCAAGAGATTTATGCATTGCCACTAGGAGTGAGAATTCATGCATTGTTGTGTCGTCCTAAGGCGCATATGGCTCGACAATTACTTGTGCAAGCCCAGTTTACTTTAATTACACCAGCAGTGTCAAGTTTGGAAGGGTTTTGCTGTTTGTACATTTGAAGTTGACACGTCGGATGACAACAACCCTTCACAAGGAGGGGGGAAATAAAAAAATCACAGGTCTCCCTTTTGTGAGGGGATTGTCACGGATGTACACATCAAAACTCAATTTTGAAAATACCATGCCACTTTTTTTCGAGTGTAAACGAGCTTTTGAGCAATGGTTGTTACATTGATACCATAATTTTTATTTGATACATTACATTTTAATTGCAATTAAACCCCACAAAATTTACTTATTGTAACGATTATTTCTTTTAAGTATTTTTCATTGAATTCTTTTCTATTAATTAGTACTTTTTGTCCTTAATGGTGATTTATATTAAAATATTTTATTTTCATACTTTGAAATGAGGGAAAACTAATTTTCTTTAAATTTCTTATACTACATTTTTATTGTTGTTTTACGTCATTTCAACGAACTTTTAGTTATAAAACTATTATAAAGTACAAAATGTGTTAACTAACGAAAAGTTTGAGGATGAGCATAAAATGAAAATTTTTTAAGGACATAAATGTTATAATGAACAAAAATTAAGAACCTTAAATACAATTAAAATGTAGGTCAAGAAATAAAAATCGTAGTGTAAATAAAATCACTCTTTAAGCTTTAAGCAAAACTCAAAGCGAAGCCTTCAAGATAATGGGGTTCTGTTTGAATTTCTTGATTTCGAGCTGGGGTTTAAATGGAGTAATGTTATTTATATGGCTTAATTGTACAAAATGTCCATACGTTTGGTATTTAATGTGCAAAACGTCCATATGTTTCAAATTTTTGCATTTTCATCCATATTTCAACATTTCATTGAGAAAACGTCATTTTCACCTATTTTTAACGTAAAATGATCAATATACCCTCCTATATAAATAAAATAAAAAAGAAAAGAAAAATAAAGAATAAATTGCAATCTTACTCTTGAACTTTTTAAAAAATGCAAAGGAGTCCAAGATTTATGAAAATATTAAAAATAACAAAAAAATTATTTCTCTCTTATCCTCCGCCTCCGCCACCACCGCCGCCGCCAAAACCATTGAAATTTCACCCATTTATTTTGACTCCAAAATTTGGTTCGAACTTTCACTCCTCTTTTCGTGGTGTGTGAAGAACGACATTTGACTCCAAAATTTGGCAAATAAGGGTTGTAATTTTTGCAATTGAATGATTACCCAATGTTGTTTGAGCCTGAATTTGAGTTTACCCAAGTTGATTCGTATGTTGGGACACAATTGAGCCACAAATGAATGGAAGAATTTTCCCTTTGCGCGGACGAACTGTTCGTTATGTCAATCCGAAATTGTTTCATGCCGACTCCTCAACATGAGGCTCGGTTCTATCGAGCCCGAGCCGTCCGAGCCGCCGAGATTTTTTGCCATCCCTAGTTTAAATGGAGTAATGTTATTTATATGGCTTAATCGTACAAAATGTCCCTACGTTTGGTATTTAATGTGCAAAACGTCCATACGTTTCAAATTTTTGCATTTTCATCCATATTTCAACATTCCATTGAGAAAACGTCATTTTCACCTATTTTTAATGTAAAATGATCAATATACCCTCCTATATAAATAAAATAAAAAAGAAAAGAAAAGAAAAGAAAAATAAAGAATAAATTGCAATCTTACTCTTGAACTTTTTAAAAAATGCGAAGGAGTCCAAGATTTATGAAAATATTAAAAATAACAAAAAACTTATTTCTCTCTTATCCTCCGCCTCCTCCACCGCCGCCGCCAAAACCATTGAAATTTCACCCCTTTATTTTGACTCCAAAATTTGGCTCGAACTTTCACTCCTCTTTTCGTGGTGTGTGAAGAACGACATTTGACTCCAAAATTTGGCAAATAAGGGTTGTAATTTCTACAATTGAATGATTACCCAATGTTGTTTGAGCCTGAATTTGAGTTTACGCAAGTTGATTCGTATGTTGGGATACAATTGAGCCACAAATGGATGGAAGAATTTTCCCTTTGCGCGGACGAACTGTTCGTTATGTCAATCCGAAATTGTTTCATTTGGCTGATGAATTGAAGCAATTGAATCATTACCTAGGGTCGTTTTACCTTTAATTAGATCGATTTTTAACGTGTATGCACTATCAAATGTGGTTCTTTCATTTCTGGGCAAAATTGACGATGACCCATAGGTGCATTAGGTGCGCCTTGAGTAGGCGGTGCTAGGGGAGGTGGACCGTGATCGTGGGTTTTAATGTCGGCATCGAAAAATGAGTTTGAAGTGACCGAATTCGTTGTTGAAGAAAATGATTGTAGATTCTGATTTTCAGCTTTGTTTGATGTTATGAACACATCTGTAGGAGCGCAATGAGAGTTCAGTTGCAGATGGGTGAAATTCCGATGGTTTTGGCGGTGGCGGCGACGATGGTGGTGGAGGCGGAGGAGAAGAGAGAAATAGTTTTTTGTTATTTTTAATATTTTCATAAATTTTGGAATCATTTGCATTTTTAAAAAAAATTTGAAAGTAAGATTGCAATTTATTCTTTATTTTTCTTTTCTTTTTTGTTTTATTTATATAAGAATGTATATTGGTCATTTTACATTAAAAATAGGTGAAAATGACGTTTTCCACAATGAAACATTGAAATAAGGGTGAAAATGGAAAAAATTGAAGCGTAGGGACGTTTTGCACACTACATGTCAAACGTAGGGACGTTTTGTGCGATTAAGCTTTATTTATATCTAATATCAATTTGAGAATCTTACCTTTTAAATATAAAATATTTTTTATTTTAAAGAGTCATAGTTAAAAATAAATTTTAAGAGATTCTTTATTTTAACCTTTTAATATTGAGCGTCGGTTTGAGTCTCCAATTTTGGAGAGCAAAATTCACTATCTATTTTTATTTTATAACAATTATATTTAATAAATTATATATTTCATTACTCTATTCCTTGAATTAATCAAATCATTGAATTGATTGGTCATTGACATAAAAAAGGTTAAATAAATAATGAAGCGAAGTCAATATAGAATCTTGCCACGTGACATTATCCAATTGGACAATTTAAATTTCAAGCAGTTTTTTCATGAAAAATGCTATATGTACCTTTGCCTTTACACGGTTGGTGACATGCTGACGTGGAAAGTGGAATTTAAGAAAAAAATCAAAAAGAAGCAAATCATGGAAAGTGGGTTAGAAAAACCAAACAAACAAGCAAACCCACCAAACCCATTTCATGTTAGCAGGTGAACCAAAAAAATTGAAACATCTCTCTTCGCTTCAGAAGCGTCGAAACCAGCAAGGGATACGGGTCGCGAATACCAGCAGAGGTGGGTTGAATCCACAATCAAACAATAACCAGGAACTTTCTTTGATTCGTAGAGATGACAAACAAAGGTATTTCTCATCCCATCCTCATCTTAATGTGGAAATGGGGGTGATTATTAGTTCATTTTTTTTCTTCTTTCCTAGGCAACGCACTCAATTACTGGCTGAATGGATTAATAGAATTGGGATGTAATCTGACTAATGAACAATCATCAAACTATCAAGTGAATATGAGTGCAATCCCTTATAATTGGTATCAGTTGACAGCAGGATTAAAAGAATAAATTTACTGGAAATATGAGAAAGAAAAAAAGGTATATATCATTTTTTATGAGAATTTGAGCAAAAAGAGCCCTTTTACAAATGGGATAAAGCAGTTAACTTCAATTTATTGGAGATTTGTTGGAAGTTTTCCTTTTAAATTATCGTCAAGTTTCTGATCGTTAAATTAATTTAGCTTCATACATAGGTTACCGAATGATCTTGTAACAATTTTGTAGAATGAGTGATTACCTTGGGCAGGGTGAAAAATTATTTATGTGAATTATTTTTAACATTCTTTAATTGGTTGTTTCTTGCAGTGAATGGAATTTCGAAAGAGGTGGATGAACATATTTTGTTACAATCCGATAATGGGAACATTTTGGAAAGTGTGAACTTAGTGGATGGTGGGATTGTAGGAGTAGATGGTGCAATTGTGCCTGCAGTGGGTATGAAGTTCAACGATGAAAAAGAAATGTTTGATTTTTACAAAAGATATGTTCATGACGTAGGCTTTCCAGTTAGAAAAAGAAATTCGTAAAAGGGTGATGATGGAGTTGTCAGATATGTTGTGCTCACATGTAGCTGTGAATGACATAGAAACAATATTCCAAGAGGTTCTTTGAAGCCGCAGGCTACCATTCAAACAAGTTGCAAAGTCAGACTTACTGCTTCTGTAGATGCATGTGGAATATGAAGAATTAACATGGTCAATCTCAATCACAATCATAAAACAAGTCCTTTGAAGTCAAGATTGTAACGTTGCAACCGAGAATTGAGTGCCCATGTTAAACGATGGCTTGAAGTGAACGATATGGTAGGGATTCCGTTGCACAAAAGTTACAACTCTACAGTCGTAGAAGCAGGTGGGTATGAGAATATGACTTGCGTGGAAAAGGATTGTCGAAACTATGTTGAAAAAGTGAGGTGGTTAAGACTTGGAGAAGGTGATGCCGTAGCAATACAAGCTTACTTTTCGAACATGCAAGCAAAGTGCCGCAAAGGTATATGTCAAAATTATTTTGTATATTATGAAAGTGAGTAAATCATTAATGATCTATACTTTGTTTGTTATGCAGGCAAATACGAGTTCGGACAAGGGAAGGAAGCTGAGGGCACACCCATGTCAAATGGGAGATGGTGCA